GAAAAATTTGAAATTAACCTTTTTTTTAATGATATAGTAAAAAATCTTTTTTTTATATAAAAATATATTTAATATCTTAAAAATAATTAAAATAATATTAAAAATACGAAACGCATTATGGCGCTTATTCTTCGCATTGACACGTCCAAACTTGTGATTTTTAATTATCGACCTCGACGCTTCACAACGCATTACGCATTTTAGAACACTGGTTCAAATCAATCATATTTTATTTCTAGCTATAATTTATTGTCAATTTTCAATTACATCATCTTTTCAATAACTTTTTGCTCTTAGATTATTGGAAACATATAGAAAATCAACTTCGAGTAGTATTGTGTTAGATCTACAAGCGACCACACATAGCCATCCTAAAGATGTATCCATTGACGTGACTTGCTTGGTAACTCTAGCTAGACGAGCTTGAAAGGTGTGAGAAGCCAAAAATAGTGTTGATGTGCTAAGAGAGTTGTTCGGTGTATTAATATATGAACTTGAGTACAAATGTATAAATTTTGACATCCGGACATTGAGTTGGCTGGTACTCGATATATAACTAAAATATTTTGTTATGTGTACTTTTTCTATTGGTTTCTTAAAAGTCATGCCAAACGTTTCCTTAGTAAATTAAGATCCATCCTCTCAAGTAATTATCACATATTTTTTTACACAAAAAGGCTGGATCACCAATGAAAGAATTTTCAAATAATAGTTTATTCTAGACAGTAAAAACATTGTAACATAGGGAATCGATCCTTCGTAAATTTGCAAAAAACTATGCAACACGAACAATGTTATGATACAATGATATATTGATTTTTTTTTTTCTAGAGTTATAGGGTACGATAATACGAGACAAGAATATAGTACAAGCACAAATGAAATTTTAACATATTCACGATAGAAACAAAATAATTAATATATTCATATCATAGGTCTCATCGTTAGGCCCCATATGAACAGCGAAATGTTGGATTTCTTTAGCGATGCACAAAGAATCCATTATCATTGAGCAATGGCTTTTAATACCTTTTTCTATTTCATTTTTTTTTTAATTAAAAGAAGATGCCCTTTATGAATGCTCATTGTTTGTTGAATGCTTATTCATCTTTGGATTTATTTTTTTATTTTTTTCAAAAGTGGAATTTAAGATTTAATATGCTCAGCATAAGCTAAGTAACGATGCTTAGAATGTAATTTATATGTGTGTATTTTAAAGGAATTTCAAACGAATAATTTGTTCTATCTAAAGTTTAAACAAGTAGTTCATTCCATTTAAAGATCTAAACAATAGTTAAATTTCAAGAGTTGTACTTTTAAATGGATCACCATTGTGCACGACATATTAACTATGATATCCAGGTTCAACTACCCTTTTAAGTATCGAGAATTAAGTCTAGAGTAGTGTACTCAACTAATTTAATTCTTTTTAGGAAAATGAACGAGGCAAAGTTTAAGTCTATCGTCATTTTGCGATGCAATATTTTGTGTTTAACTGCAGAATCAAAAAATAGAAGCTATACCTAGTATAAATATAAAATACGACATCGACATCGACATCGACATC